TTATTAGATACTGTATTATTTTTGAAAAAGTTATAATCATTTGTAGTAAATACAGTAGAAACATTTTTTAAATAAACCAAATTGGAATATACTTACCAAAATTTCTAATCCACTCACTAAATGATTTTAAAAAAACAAACCCATATGGGTTGTTTGAAAAGGGTAACCAGATCCTGATACTAAAAAACTATACAAATTTTTCTATAAATATGCCTGTCAAGTTACAGAATTTACATTCCTTTGGAAAATACTATATGAATGAAAATTTGATAAAGCACCACTGAGTTTTCACTATCTATTAAAAAATTAATGTAACTATATTGCAGTGTTTTTATACAGTTTATAACATATTTATGAATTGATTCATGTATTATACTTTACAACACAGGTGAAAAATACTGTTAACAAGGACATCTGTCAATAAATTTAATGCTAAAATGGCTCATTTAAAGTCAATACATCAATCAGAGTTATTTTGTAAGTATCGCACTTGTTTCCATTCATAAAGTATGGAGGTGCAAGCCAATTAAAAATTAGACATCACAAAGGAAAAAGCAAAAAGAGGTAACTAAAAATGATTTTATGAAATATTCTTAATTTAATCTTATGATTGAAAATGGTTTAAAGCTAAAGAGTATTAGTAAAATAAAAAATAAGACACTCCAGGTAAAAAAGAATGTTTTTCTAGATCTAGTATTTTCATAGATTAACCCTAAAAATAAAGTTAAAAGAACAATTTTTAGTTGATAATAAATGCTCTACCTTTCACTTAAAAAAAAAAAAAAACTAAAGCATAAACTGATATAAACGTGAAGTAAATAAACCAATATAATCCTGTCTTCTGAATGTTGCCAGTCCAAGGCATTATGCATTACTCTCAGAGTCACAAACCACTCTTATAAGCAAAGCATGTCTTATAAGCATACCTAACAGGCTATTGCTAACATGACCAAATTGAACATTACATACACATTAACTAAGCTTGTCTTGATTTTCAATGAGTATGATTACAAATTATTTAAAGAAAAAAAAAAAATTTTTTTAATTCAAAAATACTTTTGATTAAAAAGAAAATTGAGCTTCTTTAAATGACAAAAACTGGAAACTACCACTAGAATGAGGCATGCCAAGTAGAATGGCTCATGCCTGTCATCCCAGCATTTCGGGAGGCCAAACTGGGAGGATCACGTTAGGCCAGGAGTTGGGGACCAGCCTGGGGAACATGGCAAGACCCCATCTTTATAAAGAATTAGCCCTGCTGAGAATGGCGTAAACCCGGGAGGTGGAGGTTGCAGTGAGCTGAGATCCGGCCACTGCACTCCAGCCTGGGTAACAGAGCGAGACTTCGTCTCAAAAAAAAAAAAAAAAAAGAATTAGCCCTGCATGGTGGCATGTGCCTGTGGTCTCAGCTACTCTGGAGCCTGAGGTGGCAGGATCACTTGAGCACAGGAGTTTGAGGCTACAGTGGGCTATGACTATATCACTGCACTTAGACTGGGCAACAGAGAGACACCTTGTCTCTAAAAACCAAAAAACAAAAAACTCTAGAAGTAAAAACATAGAAGACAGTGTAACTTTTACTATTTCTAACATGAAAAAGCATTGTGTGGCAATTATTTTGCAGCATGTTGTCCTCATTTTCCTATCTTAACCCTTAAGTAATCACCAGATCTTAACTTTTAAACTAAAACTAGGTGAAATTTTTACGAGTGAAAAGACAAAAAAAAAAAAAAGTAAGGATACTGCTATGTCATATAAAACTAAATGTTCCTTTCAAATTTATTTTTATTCTTTCCTTTTAATCAAGCAATCACACATTATCACCACCCCAAATAAAACAGATTACAACAAAAAGTATTCCTTTAAAGTTAGTAGCTACCACAGAGAAGAAGAGAGGAAGTATATATACCCTTATGATTTTAAAAATCATGTGCATTTTAAGTAAAAAATTACATTTGTTTTTAAAAAGGTATTTACCTATATAGCTTTGTTTAAAATTTTAAATATTGTAGTTTTCCTATAAGCTTAGTAGTTAAGAATTTATGCAACAGGCTCCTTCTGTCCAAATTCTCCTTTTTTCCACAATCTGCTAATCCTTTTGAACATTTGCTCTGCCTCTTCCCCCATTTCCTGAGGATCACCACCAATCCTACAAGGAAAAAATATCAACACTACAAAATTATGAAATCAAGAGTCTTACTAAAGACTCTACTTAATTTTGGGGTGGGGGAGTAACATGAAGAAAATGATTTTAATGGCACCATGATAAATTCTTGAATTTTGAAAGAAAAAAAAAATCACAAATAGTCTTAAGGTCATCAATTAAAAGAGCTAAAAACAGAATTCACCTCTAGCAGCCATGGCGAAGTATCCGTGGCGCTGGATACTCAGATGCAAGCACCTTGGAAAAGGGCCTGTTTTTTTACTGACTAATGTCCAAAGAATGACTACATAACATTTGCTATCAAATGAGATACAACTTTTAAACCAATAAATTGCTATCATTTGAACTAGTTCAAATTAAGAAAATAGTACTTCTGCATTTTGGACAATATAACTATGCTAATTAAAATTAAAGAGGTCATCAAGAGAAATAGCAAACACCTAGGTTAAATATGGCGGAGTGAATTGTAATGAACAGCAAATTGAATATCAGGAGATTTAGTTCAAGTCCAATTCTACTGCTGTTACAACCTTGCCAGGTTCTCAGTTTCCTCAGTTCTATAAAGTAAGAGAACTGTGTCTGACAATGTTTAAGCCCTTTTGGCTATGGTTTTATTACCTAAATTTCAAACCAATACCAATTTATAAATACAATGTGATCATACAATTTGCAGAGATCACATTATAGATATTTATATGAATTTAATCCTCTCCCTAAAAGATCTTAAGAAAAATATTACACATTATGGGGCATTCAATTTTACATAGGGTTACATCAGGCTTTCCTCTCCAAGATTTGTTATGAACTTCACTTAAAAAAAAACACTTGAGAAACACATGCTAAAAACAAAACAAAAACTCAGGAGAAAGTGACCTTAAATATAAACCATACCCTGAAGCCTCATTTCCAACTTTGCCAATAGATTTAAATTTTTATGAAAACTACTGATCAAATTTGTAGGTACAAGATGACTCAATTAAATTTTTGCACTGTTGAACACTCAACCACACTTATGTTGTACGCATCTTTTAACTTTGTTTCTAATCGCTCATACTAAAATGTAACTTAATATATAGTTTATGGCTCATGACTAAACATGGCAAGTGAAACTAATGAAATGATAGTGTGATATGATAACCAGATGTGCAACTCCCACATGCAGCATTTCAGTGTAGTCTGTTAAACCCATGAATCATTAAATGAAAGATTTTTAACTATGTGCAGTTAAGGAAGTCTTCTATTAATTATTTACATAAACCCCTTTTTGAGACTATGCGTAGTGTATGTTAATTTCTCTCCAGTTTAAGAGTTCTTAAACTAGGATCCATGGATCAGCCTCCAACAGTAGTGAACACCTGGAAGTTTACGTAAAATTATGGTATGTGGGTATTTTTCTGGGAAGAAACAATTTTGGTGTTTTTCTCATCAAGCTTATAGTAACTTTCCTTATTTCTAATTTAAGTTACTTGTTCAAATCTAAGCAATTATTAATGAGGCTTTTCTCTCATCACAGCATTTACTGATTTTCTTATAAGGATCCATTTACTTTTGCATATCCCATACTACGAAGTAAGCTACCTAAAGGTGGGACTGTGCCTTGCAAATAATCGCATTGTCAAGTTTCTTTCACCTCAAACTGACAGCTTTCTCCATAGCCTATTACAATTAGTTACATTTTAAAAACACTTGGCTATAACATCTACTTCATTAGAGTTCTAAGAATCAAATGGGCCAATACTTTCAAAGAATTTGCCTTGAAGTAACAAGTAAACACATAGATTCTTAAGATACTAGCCTTCTATTTTAAAAGCTTTTTCTCACAGATATAAAACTCTTAAAGGATTTCTAGCATACAAATTAGATGAAGTTTTGTGAACTGGGCCAAGGGTATAATTTATACTCAAATATCCTTCATGTAACCAGGGTACCTCATCCACGGTAAAGCATTTACAAAGCCATGTAGTTACGCTTTCCTCTAACTTGGAATAGATAGGCACAGATTTACCAAAGAAGTATACAAATGTTCCAAACATAAATAAAATTTATTTAAATATAAATAAAATTTATAATTAGAAATTAAAAATCTGAAGCATCTAAAATCGTGTGATAGATTTAAAAATCTATTACACAAGAACCATTTTCAAATACTTATTTTCAAATACTAGATCTTCCAATTATTAAGGCAAACCAAACACTAAAAAAAAAAAAAAAAAAAAAAAAAACCCTCACAATGCAAATTTCAAAGCATAAGAAAATATAACTTAATTGGAATAAACCTTATTTAATTGTTTTAATTATGGCATGATTCAAGTAAAACCAAATGAAACAAGTTCCAATAAAAATTGTGATTTCAGCTCATGAGAGTATCAAAGACTTGAGAAAATTCGAGGGTAAATGTAGATTGTCTTAAGTACTAGAACATTTGTTCCTACATATACTAATAACAAATATGCAGTAAAATGCCTTTAATTCTACTTAAAACTGTTTATTCTAGAAGACTCAAAAGGAAATGAAAGGAAAATTACCAAAACTTTTAAAAAAAAAAAAAAAAGGCCTCTCTGCCTTTATTCAGCAGACTTTAAATATTTTCCAAATCTTCAAGTCAAGAGTAAATAACTGTTGGAATTTACAATGAGTCATCTGTTTTTAATTTTGCCTTAAAATGACTACATCATTCATTTTGAAATAAAGATCCTAACTCTATACCATAAGACAATTTCTTAACACCAAGAGAAAATTTTTCACAATTCTACATAAATAATCCCAGATTCATCTTTATGCCTTAGCTATTAAAAAAAAAAGTTTACTAGGTTAAAATGCAACATCAACATTTTACCTTTATTAGTGAAGTCACAACAATTGCTCCAGCATTTACCATAGGATTATGTGGTTTATCTATAAAATATAAAAGCAATACCATTATTTCAAATACTTAAGCACTTGAGTAATATTATATATTAAAAATAACCTTGGAAAAAGCACAGCTAACGTAAACTCAATTTTGCTTTTTTCTAAGCGCTTTATTTTTATTTTTATACACAAGTACATACACAGAAGGATTTAAAAACACAAACAAGTGATTTACATAGAATAATAAAATTATAAGGGATTTTTTTTTTTAAGAGCCAAAGTTTCAGACTATCACCCAGGCTGAAGGGCAGTGGCACAATCATGGCTCACTGAAGCCTTGGCCTCCCAGGCTCCAGTGATCCTCCAGCCTCAGACTCCAAAGAAGCCGGGACCACAGGCACAGACCACACCTGGCTCATGTTTTATTTTCCACAGAGACAGCATCTCCCTATGTTGCCCAGGCTGGACTCAAACTCCAGGACTCAAGCAACCCTCCCGCCTTGGCCTCCCAAAGTGCTGGGATTATAGGCATGAGCCACCATGCACAGCCTATAGGGGATATTTTTAGGTTTTCTATATTTCCTGACAATAGAGGTATATTTGTATTTCTTATATAATTTTAAAGTTACTTAAAACTTTACATTCTTCCAAACTCCTATTTCTTCTCTTTTTTTTTTTTTTTTTTTTGAGACGGAGGCTCACTCTGTTGCCCAGGCTGGAGTGCAGTGGCCGGATCTCAGCTCACTGCAAGCTCCGCCTCCCGGGTTCACGCCATTCTCCTGCCTCAGCCTCCCAAGCAGCTGGGACTACAGGCGCCCGCCACCTTACCCGGCTAGTTTTTTGTATTTTTTTTTTAGTAGAGACGGGGTTTCACCGTGTTAGCCAGGATGGTCTCGATCTCCTGACCTCGTGATCTGCCTGTCTCGGCCTCCCAAAGTTCTCCTAATTCTTATAATAAACAAGAATGTAAAAACTCAACTGATTATATTCTCATTCACTGCATGACATAAACGCCAAAAACGAAACTGTTGGGGACAGTGAAAACATCTATTTACAAGCAAACCTCAATGTCTTAATCTATCTACCTGGTGGTTACCAGAAGTGGGGGAGGTGGGGAGAAGGGATTGCCAGATGTTGGTCAAAGGATACATAATTTCAGTTACACAGGAGAAATAAGTTCAAGAGATCTATTTTATAACATGATGTAGTTAATAACAAGTATTATATGTACTTGAAAATTACATATTGAAAATTGTTAAGAAAGCATACTTTGTCTTCTAATTACAAATAAATATACGAAGTAACGTATGTTACTTTGATTTATCCATTCCACAATGCATATATATTTCAAATCACTATGTTGTACACCATATACACAATTTTTATCTGTCAATTAAAAGTAAATAAAAAGAAAAAAATTATACATTTTGGGTGTATTCATAATGCCCAGTTCCAAAAGTTAAAATAAAATCTTTGTGCTATATCTGATTATTACAATCAAGATTTGCCTATTCCAAATTATACTAAGAGAAGTTTGATTTTTCTGAGAACACATAAAATGAGAACACTTGCTGTTCCAGAAGAATACTATGTGGCATGAGGGGGCCAAAACCTAAAAATGTTCCAAATATTATCTACCTGAAAGAAAAACCCACGTAGAGAGAAAAGAAGAACTTAGAAATCAGATTGTGTTAAATTACTTTATACTTTTATTTGTATGGATGTTCATTATCTGTCATTTCAGAGCTTTTGACATTATCAGGCCTAGACTCTACAGTCCTAGAAGGCTGCTAATCTATGTATTCCAAACGGTATCACATAAACGTGAGTATTAAATATTTTCCAAATGATAAATACTCTGCAAATGCTACATAAATTACATTTAAAGAACACTAAATCATTTTATGGCATGACAGCCCAATTTTCAGACATACGTAATTGCTCACTCTGCCTTTGGCTCAAAAGCCAGACATCTGAACATCTGGAAACCCGCCAGAGAGAATGTAACACAACACCAGCCTAACTGCAGTATAAAACCTCGGTCTAAGACCTATGACTGTGAAATTTTCTTGTATCCTGCTCTGTCTTAAGGTAAGATGGAGTTGATGGGTTTAATTTAGAATTTTTAATTTAAAAATACTTATGAATGGCAGAAATAACCTATGACACTAATAAAGGCAGGCTATCATTTAAAGTAATGAGATACCAGAGCATGTTATACTAACAAAATGGACATGGGTGACACCTGAAATTTACGGACATGTTTTAAACTATAATGCAAAAATACTGATCGATTTTAACAAGTATTTATTTTCCCCAAAGGCAATAAAATACACAGCATTCTTTCATATTATATCAAAAGAAGCTCTTCAAGCTGCTAAGCATATGAACTTTACAAGGGTTTTGTTCACAGGTCAAGCTGAGTCAAAGTTTGCTAATACATATACTAAAGAACAAAAAATATTAAAGAGGGTTTCCAATTTAATTTGGATATTTATATTTTAGGTATTATATTGGAATTTTACAGTGCCAAGTAAAAACTGGAGTTAAACTCAATTATCTGACATTACACACGTTTACAATATATTCTCTAGATATAGAGAAAATATTCTCTATCTGGTTGGGATATATACGGTTGCAAAGAATGTGCAGTGCCCATTGTGGATGGTTGGAAAAAATGTGCAGTGCCCTCTCACATTCTTCCCAACCATCCTAAATTCATCCTATCAATTCAGACCTGTCATCCTCATGTAAATTAACTCAACTCCTCTTCTTTCTCAATCCTCCATACATATAATCAGCACATATATTTTGGCACCTGTCAATTACATACTTGTAAGATAATACAATTAACAGTATTCGATGCTTAAGTATGTCTTCTCCCATCATGTATTAGAAATATGTAACTGTCTTCTGTATCCTGTAGTCAGAAAAGTTATTCCAAGAACCAAGGCCCATGTACCCTCCAGAGCTGTTAACAATACAGACAAGGAAAGCTATATAAATAATTTGTTGATTAACCTGATCACTATAAGGTAGAAAAAGAAGACTTCCCTGGGAGATGGTAGTTTGCAAAACTGACATTTCCATAAAGTAACTTGTTTGCTCACTGATAATGATAAAAGATATCAGCCACCTCCTACCAAAACTTTCTATGCTGCAAACATTTTAAAACTACTGTTACTGCCGGGCGCAGTGGCTCACGTCTGTAATCCCAGCACTCTGGGAGGCCGAGGCGGGCAGATCACCTGAGGTTGGGAGTTCGCGACCAGCCTGACCAACATGGAGAAACCCCATCTCTACCAAAACTACAAAATTAGCCAGGGTGGTGGCGCATGCCTGTAATCCCAGCTACTCGGGAGGTTGAGGCAGGAGAATCGCTTGAACCCAGGAGGCAGAGGTTGAGGTGAGTCGAGATCGCGCCATTGTACTCCAGCCTGGGCAACAAAAGCGAAACGCCGTCTCAAACAAAAACAAACAAACAAATTTAAAAAACCTACTGTTACAAAAAACTACTACAATTTATCTATGCACTATATCCCTATTAGTCTTAATAAATCATCACAATCTTACAAAGCTAGTATAACATTAATATTTTTATTTTTAAAAAATTTATTTTAGATATACATATATATACATACACACACAAAAAGTGTATGGTTTCACCAAAAATCTACCCTTGCAATTTTAAATATGAACGAGATCTTCAAATTGTTTTTGCTGGGGCTAAACTAAATCAGGATTCAAGAGCACAGGCTCTAATAAGAATTCAGGAAGGTATAATATAGTAAAGCCTGTATTTACCGTTACTTTTTTTTTTTTTTTTTTTTTTTTTGAGACGGAGTCTCGCCCTGTCGCCCACGCTGGAATGCAGTGGTGCCATATCGGCTCACTGCAACCTCTGCCTCCCAGGTTCAAGCGATTCTCCTGCCCCAGCCTCCCAAGTAGCTGGGATTACAGGCGCACGCCACTACGCCCAGCTAACTTTTGTATTTTCAGTAGAGACGGGGTTTCACTATGTTGGTCAGGCTGGTCTCGAACTCTTGACCTCATGATCCGCCAGCCTCGGCCTCCCAAAGTGCTGGGATTACAGGCGTGAGCCACCGCGCCCAGCCTTACCATTACTTTCAAGACTCATGGTGTTGGCTCAGGCTTAGAAAACGTCTATGAATATCGAGGCAAAATCTCTTGTTAAACTTTATGTTTCATTCTTATTATAAACAATTCTAAATTCCCGATTTATTTTTTTCTTATTTAGAATACAGGATCAATAATTCATTTCTAAAACCATAAATATACATGGCAAAAAAATTCATTACTTACACTGTTAAGTTCATTTGCTCCAAGCCCATTTTATTTGCTTTTTTTTTGTTTCTGAAATCTTCTAAACATTCAAATTACTGTATTTGTTTTCTTTTTCTTAAGTATCTTCCTCAATCAATTCACTAGACACATCTACTCTCCTTTGTTGTTCATGGAAAGTATTAAATTTTTCTTTTAAAATATTTGATATTTTTAGAATAACAGTATTAACTCTTTCAATATTAAATCTAGATGTCAACGAGCTTAGTAAATAAAGTGCTTCTGCATATGATGTCCTTATCAAAGTTGTTAATTTATGGTAATGTCCATAAAACCAAATGTAGCATCAGAATAAAAAGGTTATGGTAAAATGGGAAAGAAAATGTAATTGCTCTCAGAATAAATAGGATGAGAAACATAAGAAAATACTAGTCTCACGACTTCATCTTACAAACTAATAAAATAATGAGTATAAGGCACATTTCATTTTTTATACAGCAGAAAGAAAAAAGTATAAAAGTGTATCTCTCACAGCCATTACTACAACCTTCACTCTCACTTTCTTCAATTCTGTATCTTAACTCATCAATCAGAAACACAGCATATGCTTCAAAGATTAAAAAACAGAAACCAAACCATGGGAATAGTTTAACTTAGTTTGCACTCAGCTAAATGATGTTTAGACTTAAAATCTCTATCAGATCAAACTAACTACTTTTGTCCTCCCCTTTTCTTTTGAATTCCTGTAAAGTCATAAGATTTGTTATTCAAGCATTAAACACAAAGCATTTTTCAAATTTTTTAATGTTATAAGGAGAAAAAGTAAAAACACTCACTAAAAAATAATAATCCTCACTATCTCAACCAGGGCCACAATAAAACTTTCAAATACTATACACAACATAATAAAGTAGAGAGAAAAATACACGAACACCCACGTACCCATCATTTAGCTGCGATAATTACCAACATGTAGTAATAATCACACCCAGCACTCCCAGCTGCCTTAACTAAACTATTTTAAAGCAAATCTCAGGCATTTTGAGATTTCACTCTATTTCCCTAAAGGTGGTTATGAAGAGAAGTTCATATTCTCCCTAGCCCACTTCCCAGTGGCATGAGATGCCTAAAATAATCATTTTTAAAAGCAGGTGATGAAACTCTCCCAATGGATTGTATAGAAATCACATGACAAATATTAATACTTCTAATTTTAATAAAAAAATGTTTAAAACGACTTAGATTGACATAGGAAAATGAGACATTTCTTTTTTCAACCAATGTTCATGTAATTCTTACCATCTTCATTCAAAAATAGTTTGTTGAATCTTAGTCCACTCGGCTCTTTTCCAACATATCGATGCACATATTCAGTTCCAAGATCATTAACAGCAATGGCATATTTCAAAGGTTTTACACAGGACTGAAGACAGAAGGGAACTTTGGTATCTCCAATAGAATGCCTATTTAAAAGGAGATTTTTAAAAATAACATCAACTGGGAAAAAAATGTAAACTGCATAGTTGGAATTATTCTTTTTACATGTTAATTCCAATTCCAACAAAAATTTTCCCATAATTCAACCACAAGTTTATGTCAAAATTAGAGAATAAATTTAAGTACAGTCATCCTTTGATATCTGTGGGAGATGGATTCCAGGAATCTCTGTGATACCAAACTCCATGGACACTCAAGTCCCTTATATAAAATGATAGAGCATTTGCATATAACCTACACACATCTTCCCATGTGTTTTAAATCATCTGTAGATTACTTATAATACCAAATACAACGTAAATGCCATATAAACAGTTGTACTGTATTATTTAGGGAATAATGACCCATGTATCCATGGGTGCAGACCCCATGCATACAGAACTGACCTATGTTTAAGAGAAATACTGTGAAAAAAAGCAAAAGCATAAAAGTATTCACATAACAGAATAATGGTTTTAAAGTAGGTAATAAATATGTAATGTGGAAATTTTCCTCTGAGGGCAAGAGAGTAAGAGTACGCTCCTCCTTACTCCCACATGTATTCAATCACATAAAATAAACTAGCCCTTTTAGAAATTATTCACCTTTTTTTTTCAATTCATAGCTGTATGCTGTGACTAAACCATGGTTAAAAAGTTAAACAGAGCTCAGTTTAGATTCAATACTATTTTCTGAGACCCTGTCTACAAATGCCTCATCTTACAAGCCACATCCACTCACAATCCTGGCCCCATTAAAAGAAAAAGCATCCAGTTTTATAAACCTGACACAGCTGGCACTAAGTTCAGTAGGCAGTCATCATTACCATGGAGATAAATAACAGAGCAAAAAGAAAGCTTTATATTACTACCAAACTGAGAAGTACTTGAAGTAGAGAAAAGATTTGGGAATGAAAAAGTTCTGGCCAACCCAATTATAATGTAAGCTTCACAAAGGCAGAGATCTTTGATTTACTTACTGATATATCCCAGGTTCCCTGAACAATGTCCCAACACATCACAGGCATTCACTCATAGTGAAAGTCATTCATAGTTAAACTGGGCACTATATTAATAACCACCCGAAGCAGAGGGTGACAGACACATCAGAGGTCAAACAGGAATGCATACCCACCTCACTTCTACAGAATATAAATACGTATGTATAAATACCAAAAGAATACTTTTCCTATCAAATTTATTCATGTGTAACTATAACCTTAAACTATATAGTTATACTATGTAAGATTATAACTTCAAACTTGACAATCATTCTAAAAAATGATTAAAAGCTTGTCTTATTACCTTTGGATTTAAAAATACATATGTTCTAGTTCTGAAGTCAACTTTTTGAATTCTCTAGATAAAAAAACTAAGAGACATAGAGAATGTTTAAGAAGAGAAAAATCATATTCAATATTACATGATAATAATTTCCTTCAAATTCAAAGACTTCCATTTCTTGATTATTTCCTAAAATGCAAAAACAGGAATACCATTCCCTACTGGAATTTGCTTCATGGTTAAAGCCACCACGTCTTTTCATTTCATTGTGTCCCTTCATAGCACACAACATTTAATTCAACACATGGTGACTGCTCAGTATATTTTACAGACCCAAATGACGATAAAAGCATATAATAATGTAAGAAAAAATAGACTAGAAGTTAAGAGATCCAGGTGTTCATTTCACCTTTGCCAATATCATGTCAACTATGGGCCTCAGATTCCTTACTTTCAAAATTAATGGGCTAACCCATATATTTTTTATTGTAAGTACTTGAGGATAATTAGTAAAAAAAAATTAAAATCACCTAAAATGAAGGTCCTTAAGAGTCACAAATTTTTGGCTAGGGGCAGAGGCTTATGCCTATAATCCCAGCACCAAGGCAGGAAGATTGCTTGAGGCCAAGAGTTCAAAATTAGACTGGGCAACATAAAAGATCAAATTTTCATAAATGGAAAAAAAGTTTTTAATTGCAACATTATCTTGAAAAGTAAAATCTAAAATTACTAGGTTAAATGACTTTTGGTAGTTTTAACAAAATTTAGGTAAAATTACAACTCTGATATAAAGCTTTCAAGCTGTATTCACTTACAAGTTATACATCTTATGTAAGTTATATTTTAACAAAACAGAAATACTTTAATAAAAAAACAAAAAACAAAGGAATACATCTCTGAGCTAAGTCTTTAAACGAGTGAAAAAAGAATACTGATTTTTCTCTTTGGCATAATTTTCTGATAAAACCAAATTATAAGGTGATAATAATCTTTATGTCTAATTCCCAGCACAATGAACAGTGTCATTCTTGAAAAAATATTCTAGAACTTTACCATTTTCCAAGGGCCTCTCTTAATTCGTTGATTTTTAAATCAAATCATTCTCTTTAAAGTGCCCTCACATCACTATCCTTTTTATAATTCTGCAAGTTCCTCATCTGTCAGCAGCTGTGCCTGCAATGTAAGCAATTCCCAAATGCTGCTTTCATGGACTTCATGAAATCCTACATGTTTTCAACTGACTTTTAACTTTGCAAATAAACCAATGAATAATGGGATACTTTATGTTGCACTGTCTTAATTCTCATGCTAATTATATCAGGAACACAAGGAACAAAGACGATGACAGATGGGTTACCAATGTTAAGTTGAGAAATAGGGACTAATTTTATTACTGGTCAGTTCATTAGAGAACAGTGTCATGTTTTGACAAGTCTGCTTTTCTGAAACAAATTGGTAACTGCAGGTATTTGAATAATACTCAAAAAGTGAGACTACAACTGTGACTAAAATAGATATAAAACTTAATATAATGTTACTGTTTCAGTTGAGTTTTTAAAACTTAAATTAAAATCTAAATTTACCTTTTGAAATTATGTCCTGTTAGGAAATTAGTCAATTTCCGTTATAAAAGATGATCTTCTCCATGTCATTTTCACCATTATACAAAAGTTAAGGCTTAGAGTTCGTTTTCATGAATTTGAAATAAACTTACCTCTGTCCATCTACTGTACAAACAGACACACCCCACAAATCAGGACTGAATTTGGCCAGTTGAGGAATATAATCTGCAACCTATCCAAAAGATTGGAAAGAAACGAATAGATATAATATTGGCAAATAATATATTTTCTTCCACCAACAAATTTCTTATCTCATTTACCTTCTACCTATGACTAGTTATTTTACAACACTCAGTGGCTTCATAGTCTATCTTCTATAACAATGCTCATGAAAACTAAAGGCAAAACAGAATTGAGAATTACGAGATCTAAAGTGACTTCTCTCAGTCTCTATTATTTATTGTTTTCCAATGCATTCTTTCTTTCTAATGCATTCTTTCTTTCCCATGTTTAGCAGGAGAGTCTAGCAGAGGAACTTGAACTGTCTTTTTTTGTTTGTTTTTTAAGCAGGAAAAAAGTAAAAAAATTATTTAATCAGAGTCATGGGTGCTAGTAGGGTTTCACTAAGACATTAGGAATCAAGTACTTAAAAATAAGTAATAAGTATTTACACTGAAGTTGTTACACAGTTGAATCTTAAACACGGACTCAAACTTCAAACAGTGCACTTATATGCAGATTCTTTTCTGCCTCTGCCACCCCCAAGACACAAGACCAATCCCTCCTCTTCTTCTTCAGTCTAAACACAAAGATGATGACAATGAAAACTTTCAAGGTGATCCACTTCCACTTAATAAGTAGTAAATGTATTTTCCTTGTGATCTTCTCAATACCATTTTCTATCCTCTCACTTTATTGTAAGAACACAGTTTATAGGCCGGGCGCGGAGGCTCACGCCTGTAATCCCAGCACTTTGGGAGGCCAAGGCGGGCGGATCACAAGGTCAGGAGTTCGAGACCATCCCTGCTAACACGGTGAAACCCTGTCTCTACTAAAAATAGAAAAAATAGCCGGGCGTGATGGTGGGCGCCTGTAGTCTCAGCTGCTCTGGAGGCTGAGGTAGGAGAATGGCGTGATCCTGAGAGGCAGGGCTTGCAGTGAGCCAAGATCGCGCCACTGCACTCCAGCCTGGTCAACAGAGCCAGACTCCATCTCAAAAAAAAAAAAAAAAAAAAAGAATATGGTATATAATAAATATACAAAATGTGTTAATGGACTATTTATGTTATTGGTAAGGCTTGTAACAGTAGTTAGAAGTAGTTAAATTTTAAGGGAGTCAAAAGTTATACTCAGATTTTTGACTGTGTGTGGGGTTGGCATCCTTAACCCCTGCTTTGTTCCAGGGTCAACTGGATTATACTAAAGCTACCCAAAGTTAAAACAAAAGAAAACAAAAACTTTCTATATGAAAATCAAACAGTCCCTAGTATTATTTAGAGGATTTTAAAAATTAGAAACATTTCATTTAATACGGCAGGATATCAGTCTGCAGAAATTCTGAATAAGGTTTTTTAAATTAATTAAAATTTTAAAATCCATCACCATCATCTGAAAATAAAAAAATCTTACTCGATTTCTCTTTAGCCAGAATAACAAAGTTAAACATTTAAAATATTGTAAAAACACTAAATCCAGTGGCTTCACTTAACTTAAATTTCTTAAGCAAAGCTAAAGTGTTTTCTTTAGCAAAATGCAACTACACAATTTACTCTCTAGACCTCAAATTGAGCTGAATTTATTAAGTGATTGGGTTATGAAAATATGTACATCAAAAGCATTACCTTTCCTCCAGACTGCTTTTTAGCACTTTCATATAACTCATCAATGTGTGAGGTAAAAGACATAAAGTCAGGAATGACAAACTTTCTTCTAAAGGCTTGTGTCAACAAAACAATGTTGCTCTGAACACATCTGTGGAATGTAAGAAAAATAATTAATAAATTGGGTACCTTTCAAATATTAGAACTTGGTAATAATAGTAACAATTAGGACACTGTTTAATAGATAAATTTATCATTTTATACAACTAAACTCCATAAATTTTGCTTTCTATATTATTTTCTTTCCTTCTAGCAGTCTTTCAAGTAGTTGCTTGTAAGCTGTTCAACATGTAAGAGAAATAATCTAGATGTGCCTAAAATTGTGTCAAAAACTAAAAGACAAGGCGTTCCACCAGGTTTAAGTATTAAGACCATCTGAAACAAGCTTCTTACTCAGAGTTGGTAAACATTCAGCATGATGACATCTGGTTAACAAAATTCGACTGCCTTGGTTGAAATCTTGTTTATTTATCAAGTAATCTCAGAAATACATCTCTTAGTTCTTATATAGCTATTAATAGCATTTCATTTAAAAATTAAACATTTTGCATTTTAACATATTTTTCCTTAATTATATAAACTTTGTTTAGTCAGATTAATTTACCTCTTAAATGAAATGTCTGTTGAAATGCTTGCAAAAATAATGTATAATTTGAATTAAAATTTCATATGTAGTATATTTTATATTTGACTCACCAAAAATGTTATATTACAATATTCTATTTAATATAAGATATGTAAATACAATGCAGAAAAAAAATGTTTCACTGTTAAAAAAGTATTTTAAAAACATAGTAAACCAAGTGGATGGGAGAGCATGACATTCTGAAATCTAATAATTTGAACTGTATTCTGCTTTTTGCTAAAAAGAATAAGCCAGAAAATCAGTATATTAATGTAGCCTTTAAAAAGTTTTGCAAATAGATTACAGCCAATCGTATATTCTGAGCTTCTTAAGTCTCTATAACACAGTAATAGAATATTTAACTAATATTTAATTAATAAAGGAAGACTTGCTAGCCATGGTGTTAAGCCATAATACCAACAATAACAAATCTTAAGAGTAAGATGCTCTCAGTATTTCTTGTTTAGTCTGTAGTAAATGAGAAATTTTTAAATCTCAATATTTTAATTTAGGTTGTTCTAGATGAAACCAAATTAAAGTTAAAAGCCAGGTTTCACAGTTTATGAATAAGAATTCAGAATAATATAAACTCATTTGTTCAATATAAAATTAACGCACAGTTTAAAAACAAAATCCTAATAGAAATGACTACTGTTTCAGTCATAAGGATCCCCCTATTGACATTAAAAAATTATAGTCCTAATTTCCATAAATTATATATTACTGACACGCTAGAGCTAAGAAATATTTACTTCAATAAACAATCATTTTCAGATAGTTTCAATGTTAATCTCAAAAATGTTACCATTGTCTTATTATTTTTAATGTTTCAAAAAGCTTCTAAAATCCAACTTGCAAGTATCAGAGTTGCAAGAGATATACATCAACCACCACCTTTCTCAGAGGAAAGAAAAATAGAATTCCTGATCTTAAACCAGTATTTATATCTACAACAAATCAAATATACTTCCTCATTTTTCAAGAAGTTATAAATGCAAATATGAGAGCTGCTGAACAAATTTAAATTATTAATCTACTACCATTTAACTATTTTAATCAGCACCTTTAAAAGGATTTATAATTAACAAAATTATACACTCAGTGAAACTTTATGAATGTTCTGCTGTAGCAGAAGGTGCTGGTAAAGCAACAGGTGACAAAGCCAATCTTGCCTCTCAGGAGGGTATCTAACTGCATACTGATCACCATTCCAAACAGTAAGGTTTTTCTTGGGAGTTATTTTAATACAGATACCATGAGTCTAACTAGGAAATTAGAAGTCATATAAAATGAACTCTTATGCTTTTCAGCAAGTTATATCTATCTCTGTCCTTTGTTCAGTTTTCTTATCTGTAAGCCGGGAATAATCATTTTCTTTCCTTAAGTGTTTATAACTAAAAACTAATGAAATGCACAATGATTTACAAGACATTTCTCAACAATAATTTTTCATTTGTAAAATAACATAATAAATATGAAATCTTTAAGAAAATCAAACACACAAATGAAAGGCTACCATTCACTTTCTTGCAAAACAAAAAGATCAAAAAATTATGATCATACAAAGAAACAGTTCTAACACCTATAAAGTTAAAAATGCATGAATAAATAAAGGATTAGTTTTCAACACAAATACTTTTACTTCTATTAGTTTTAAGGTTTACTAGCATTAAAAACAATTGACTACTATCAAGCTGGGTACAGGCAGTCTCCAACTTTCAAACAGGTTATACTCCAAAAGTATACTTAGAACGTATTTTCCCAAGTTAAAAAAAGTCACACATAATAGTTGTTTCTCAGATTACCGAAAAAGTCTAAAAATATTAATCTACAATGTATTTTAGGTAAAATATTAACACATTGCTTCAACCAAACCTACGCAACTTTATAAATTATTTCTCTGGGGAAAAATGAATCCCATGTTTTAACATCTCCTCCCCAGCTGCAGGGAAGGGAGAAGTTTATTTCGGGCAACACTAACTAGATAACTTCTTATATTTGAAAACAAAGAAGGCCAGGCGCAGTGGCTCACGCCTATAATCCCAGCACTTTGGGAGGCCAAGGCGGGCGGATCATGAGATCAGGAGATCGAGACCATCCTGGCTAACCCAGTGAAACCCCGTCTCTACCAAAAACACAAAAAATTAGCCGGGCGTTGTGGCAGGCGCCTGTAGTCCCAGCTACTCCGCAGGAGAATGGAGTGAACCCGGGAGGCGGAGGTTGCAGTGAGTCGAGATCACACCACTGCACTCCAGCCTGGGCGACAGATACAGGCTCCGTCTCAAAAAAAAAAAAAACAAAGAAGAGAACATCTCTGAAGCAATCATCTTTCCAGGTGACTGAAAACTATTAAAAGGTTAATAGATGGAGGTTTTGAACTACCTCATTCTAAGAATAAAGAGAGAAATAATTATGCCTATAGACTTGTACTTTTCTACTGGTTGCTCTTATAGACCATAAAACATTTGTCAAGTTAGAAACTGCCTGTATTACAAGCATAGATTTTTAAAAATTGGATTAGTGTTTAAAACAATAGTAATTACTATCTCTTAATATAATTGCAGGTAGAAAATTTAATGTTTGCAGTTCCCTGGCTTAATAATCAAAGGATTTAAATTGTTTTTAATTTCATATTTAAACACAGCAACATGTTTATAAAACATAAATATCTTTTCAAGTATTAAAAACGTGTAACTTTGGGACGCAGCGGGCGGATCACCTGCGGTCAGGAGTTTGAGACCAGCCTGGCCAACATGGTGAAACCCTGTCTCACTAAAAATACAAAAAAACCAGGCGGGCACCTGTAATCCCAGCAACTTGGGAAGCTAAGGTGGGAGAATCACTTGAATCCGGGAGGCAGAGGTTGCAGTGAGCCAAGATCATGTCACTGCACCTAGCCTAGGCGACAGTGAGACTCCGTCTCAATATAAAAAAAAGTGTAAAATACTGCTTCCACTTAAAATTCCAAAGCAGTTCTCCCACTGATTATCAATAGATCTACCTGTCATTACTCTAACAAACTTCATTCACAGACACAACAAAATAATGCCCGCAGAAAGCACTTTAATCAGAATATTGTGCAGATAGCTCATGAACACGAAAAATAATCCTTACTGCAAAGACACAAATAAATTTAGAAATGATGTTTTTCTGTCTCTTAAAAAGCAGGTTCTGGAGAGTCAAAATTCCTAACACCAACTGCAACACAGACCTAAAGTCTACACTTTTAAGGTCAGCTAACAGAACCAACAACCTCCTGGTGAAAAGATAAGAATCCCAAGCTGTCAGCAGTGCTTCACAGCATGCCAGGAAACTTCAGAGAAATACAGTTAAATACTTATACCTTCAGATGACTTAATACTCCAGGAGATATCTAGAACAAATTACCCAACCCCCCCCAAAAAATAAAACAAAAGTAAATACATCCATACATAACAAACTTTCAAAGTAGATGTAGAAATTTTTTGGATCCATGTCTGGAAAAAGCCAATGTCTTATAGTAGTATTTACAGTTTTATACTACTTTCCACTTAAACAGTAGGAGTTTAAAATACTATTGATTCTTTGGGATCCATTACACACATGTCCATTAAATCTTTAAGTAATCAAACTAATAGAAACACATTAATGAAGATAAATAATAAATATATGCAAATACAGGAACATCTTAAGGCTTTAATCTCCAATGTTGCCTTTAGTTCTTTACTGTTTTGAAGAAAATGAAAATAGCCAAAAGCCTATGTATTAATATGTCTGAAGAGAGAAGCAGACAATGCAGATATGTAAATGTGAGGAACACAGGTCTATCTGAAGCCCTCTCATTTTATGATGTCACCTAAATCACCTTGTGGAAAAGAACTAGAGACCATGCTGAGAAAGCCTGAAAGTCACGTAGATGAACTGGGGATCAATATAAGCAATGACAGGACAAAGGATGTGCTCTACTCAAACTGAATGCAATCTCCAAGTACTGTAAACTGGAAACATCAGTGGCTAAATTTCCTTAGAACAGATTTAAAGAAAGAATACTCTTAGCCTGGTGTATTATAGAACCTAATGTGTACCAAGTTCTTCAAACAAATGATGTTTATAAATTCCCTTTTTCCATTACACAGGAAGCAGTGGCCTTCAAAGATGCAATTTTGTTTTAAAAACAGAATCACCGTATAGCATAGCAAATCACCATTAAAGGTTTGGCAGAAACTTTTACTTTTTAAAAAGATCTTTGTCTAGCATGACACCATCTGACGTTGTTTGAAGAGTTAATCTTAACATATCCATACACTCTTTCAACCTGGGATCAGACGTTCGCAATCCTGTAGATTTGAGTGCCTGTTTTTAAAAAAATAAGAGTTTGTAAATATATAGTGCAAATAACGTATATGTTTATACCAACTATAAGATTTTACTCCTGTATATAAAAACTTCTACCCAACACTTGAACATGAATATGGCATCTTAGTGTCACTATTACCCACTTTCTGGACAAGTTTCTCATTGTTTCTTTCTTTTTCTTTCACTGATTACCTTGAAATGAGCATGATAAAAATTTGAAAACATAATAAGAGAAATAGTGTCAGTCAGAATCTACATGTCAGACGACCTTTAAGACTATATTTCAATAATACTGTATATATTTATTATTACTGATTTTTTAAAGTTAAGATAGAAAACTATAAAAACTTACTGTAATAAATTTATGAACGGGTATTTTCTCTTGTCCTTCCGCAATTGTATAGAACAGCAAATCTTCCAAGCTAGGTAACAGACCCTGTTTTATTTTACTAAAGAGGTAGAAAGAATACAAAATTAATCTTTGTATGAACATTCTAATGGATTTTAACTAAATCCACTGTTAAATAACCATTGAACTAGACTACAGCTGAGCTGATATACCCAAGACTACAGTTATAATAAAAGTTGATTTGCCAAAATCAAATCAGTACCACTATAAACCACACTGAAAAACAAGTTTAAAAAAAAAAAGAAAGAAAATTATTAACACATATTTTTTAATCCCAGGTTTTGAAACCCTGATCATCAACTCTAGTTGTGCTAATGCCCAGCCATCCCTTATGGTGATGCCTTCCTATACAGCCCAGTACAATCACCCAATACAAATTACAGAGCTCTGCAAGCGTTCCAGTAAGACTCAACACTGTTCAGTTGTTTTGGGGGTTTTCTAAACATGATGACTATATTTACATATTATTCAAATAGTTAACCTGATTATAAAATCTGGGAGAGACAGCAATTAACTATTGGACAGTAGTTAAGATCAAGTGCACAAGTTCTTGAATCCTGGCTGTAATACTATAGTTGTATAACCTTGGGTAAATGAATTAACCTTTCTGTGATCCAGTTTCCTCATTTGAGAAAGGGGATAATAGTGCCTCCCTCATGGGGTTGTGGTCAGTATCAGTTGGTTCAATACATTCAGTATCTTTAGAACATGCCTGGCAGAGAGTAAGACCCCACTGACAGTAGTTGTAGTTATTTTGTAGTTATTATTTCTAAAGTGATCTAGGTTTACATATCCTCGTCAGCCCTTTGCATCCATAGATTCAACCAACACAGATAAAAAATATTCAGAAAAAAAAAACCCATACATTCAAAAGATAGTATAAGACCTATGTACATGGCATTTACATTTTATTAGGTATTGTAAGCAATCTAGAGATGATTTAAAATATAGGGGAGGGTATATGTAGGTTATAGGCAAATATTATGCCATTTTACATAAGAGACTTGAGCTGTGGGGGTCCTGGAACCAATCTCTTAACATATACAGAAGAACAAGGCAAGACTGTATAAATCAAATTCTACAAATCATAAAGACTATTTAAAGAAAAACGTTACCAATAAATATGCTTTAAAAATCTTAATTAACTAGTGTAACACTAAGATGCTATGATTAACCAAACTTTTAAACAATGAATGTCACACAAAGGTTTTTTAAAAACTAACATATAGCTTTATCATTAAAATATTTAATGACATATCCTGATATATAATTATTCCCTGAAACTATTTTTGCTCTTAGACAACTTTAAAAAATGCATTTGGAGCTGGGTGCGGTGGCTCATGCCTGTAATTCCAGCACTTTGGGAGGCTGAGGTAGGAGGATCACTTGAGGTCAGGAGTTCGAGATCAGCCTGGCAAACATGTTGAAACCCCATCTCTACTAAAAATAGAAAAATTAGCCAGGCATTGTGGCAGGTGCCTGAATACTGGCTATTTGAGAGGCTGAGGCAGGAGAATGGCTTGAACCCAGGAGGCAGAGGTTGCAGTGAGCCAAGATCGCGCCACCGCACTCCAGCCTGGGTGACAGGGTGAGACTCCGTCTCCAAAAAAAAATACATTTGGGATGTTTTAGTAATAATAACTACAATATATTGATCACTTACTTATGTTCTACACACTGTGCTAAGTGTTTTACATGCATTCTAACTTAATCCTCCAAGGATCTTACGACAGAGGTACTATTGTTATCCAAAATATAGTATAATTTCTAGTATATACTAGAAGCTCAACAAATTTGTTATTTGTTCAAAAAAATGAGTACCTCTATTCCCATTTCACAGATTAGGAAAGAGAGGCTCAGAGGTTAAGTAGCTTTCCAAGGTTACACAATGGCAAAGATGGATTTTTCTGACTCCAAACTACTAGTACACTATACTGGCTCTCTAACTTACCAGCTTGTTATTACTTTTATAAGGTACAAACAAGTTTTCTCGGTCCTACCCTGATCTAATACCATTAAACACAGTAATGTGTAACAATACTCACTACCTAATATTTAAAGAAAAACTGAACCAGCTGTCAAAAAATCAGTGGATAATAACATACCAATTATTTACAGCAAATGGTTGGTCAAATACACTTCAGATAGTGGTAGTTTATCACTTTAAAAAACTGCAGAATAAGCTTTCTATGTATTTATCACACCAGTAAATGGTATTTGCTTTGCCTAAAAGCTATGTAAATAACGTAAAATATATGCTTTTTTAGCCTTTGGCTAAAAAATTAAAGTGACCATGTTATTGCCATAGCTAGCAAAAAAAGATAAATGTTTACTTGCTTTTAAATCAGAAACTAATTTTTATCTATACAGGAAAGAATTTAAGCCAGTCCTAAAAAATAAGCTCACGAAATAAGCTGTCAAAACTGATAAAAAGAAATTACTACCTATCTCAGCATCTGAAACCTCAGATTTTCATCTGAGAATGATCTAGAGAACAAGCATATTCAAATATTCTCCAACTCTCTACCAGGCAGAAACTGCTCAAGATCATTCATGCCTTACCCCCCCACCTTTCTCTTCCTAAATTCATTCTTTCTGGTTATTCTTCACAATAATGTATTTTTCACTAAAATTCAAAAGCTAAGAACTATAGCTTTCAGTAACTGTATAGTAACTAGGAAATCCTTGAGAAAAGTATTTAAGTTTCAACGACAAATAGGATTAATCGTCTTTCTAATCTCATCATCAACAATTATGAATAACCCAAATGAATCCTCCAGATTTCCCTGGAGAGAAAAACATAAAATGGTTATGATATTCAGCAATTCAAATAGGATATAACAGAAGATAATCTGAATGAAAATCCTTATTTCTCACCTTTTTACTACTTCTCCAACTTATACTCTCTCATTTCCTTTCTAAATTCTGCCTTTAAGATCATTTTACCATCATATTATTTCTTTTTATTACCCATTCCTTCCCCTACTTTAGCCTCACAAAATAACTGTCTTAAAAAATAATTTAATGAAAAAGAAGAAAAATCCCAAGTATTTAACTATGCCATATATGACATCATGTTAGACATCATTTACAGTCTAGAAGAAGTAGGAAACATTTACATAAAAAGAGGATTTACAGGAATGGATCTATGACATCCAGACTTTGGAAAACTACTTCACTGTGGTCTAATAAGATCAAGCTCTTTTTAGATGAAGTGGAATTTGAGCTAAACCTGAAAGATGGGTAAAAGCTGGAAGCATGGCAACAGAAAAGGATTTCTGGCAAACAGATCAAAGGGATGAAAGTAAGCATTTATTTAGTGTTTATAAAGAACAAAAAATAGCTAGAGCACAGAATGTGTGAATTAAGGTGCTTGTTTCTACCTAAAAGCTATTATGTGAATACTTAATTTTTTAGTGTTGAGTATATATGTGTGTGTGTGTATGTGTGTGTGTGTGTATATATATATATATATATATATATATATGTATATTCTGGTAAACGAGGAGACTACCTTCCAAAAACTACATTATGTTTAAATGAGGGGCCAACTTCTGCAACATGAAAAGAGGAACTGTCTTTGCTTACCCCACTGACCAAATTAGTTTCCCCATACCAAAGGGGGAATTCATATTCCTCAGTCTGGTACGCAGTTCTCTATCAATCAGCTTTACACTATTTATTCCTAACTTATTCCTTATAATTCCCCAATGTAACTGACTAGACTCATTGACCCGTAAATAAGTACTGCTATCTCATCTTTATTTTTTTTTAACCTATCATCCTTCTGTTTAAAACCGTCCTCTCCCTAAATCTTTAAGCCACCAATGATCATTTCAATCGTTGCACAGGACTTTGCCCCCACCAGATTCTCTACACTCTTTAGCATTCTCTGGTATCACTAAGTGTTGTCATTTTGTTGTACCACTTAGTACATGCCAAGCAATAGTGATAAAGATCCCTAAAGTAAGGTTGTGGTCTAGGAGAAATACGACAAAAGCCATGTGGCAAATACATGGTAGAAGTGTTTTTCAAAAAGTATCATATTAGCAAGTACAGATGAAGTATTTAATTTTGCCTTTATGGGTAGGGGAAATCAAGAAGGTTTCTAATCTGTAATTAGGAGCAACAAGGCAAACTCATCTTCATCAGTTCAAAAATCTTATAAATAAAAAACTATCAAAAGAAGAAAATTTTTTTAAAAAATCCTTACTAAGAACTACAAAATGAACAGAGGAAAATAATTGAAACCAACTGTACAGTTTTATTTTGTTAAATAACATTTCATATCACCCAACCGCCCCAAACTAGAAAGCTTCAAGGCTGGGGTCAAGTCTTTCTTAATTTTTTTTTTTTTTTTTTTTGCATAACTCTTAAAACACATAGTATAGCATGGTAAACCTATGAGACAATGAAAAACTATCTTTTCAAGTGGGATTTTTAAAAAATGAGGCCTAATAACATAATACAATTATGCCTTCATTTAAGAATAATGATCCTTCAGATGATATTTAGGGTTGTTTTAAAATCAGTGTATCATTTTGAATTTATAGTAAGCTGACTGGTAACTGTCTACCAACACCAGCAAATCAGCAGATTAATAAACCTATTAGATGGAAAGTTGAATTGATGGTGGCTGACCATATAATAAAATAGCACATTAGAATGAATGTTAAGTCTAACAAATTGACAAATTCTATTTATCATCCAAGTGATTTTGCCCCAAGGTGGAATTTAAAAATAAAAACTTACATCTTTTAAGGCTTTACTGCTAAAAAAGGACTCTCACTTTCTATCATATTAAAACCCTATGATGTAAATTAAGGTGGGTTAATTGTACCCAATGTACAGATAGAGTCCTAGAAGAGTGTGGTGGCATGCACCTATAGTCCCAGCTACTTTGGAGACTGAGGCAAGAGGACTGCTTGAGCCCAGGAGTTCAAGGCTGCAGTGAGCTATAATGGCACCAATGCACTCCAGCCTGGGTGACACAGTGAGATTCCATTTCTGAAAAAAAATTTTTTAATTTAAAATTTTTAA